GGAGGCTGAGGCAGGAGAATTGCCTGAACCCAGGAGGTGGAAGTTGCGGTGAGCCGAGATCGTGCCATTGCACTCCAGCCTGGGTAACAAGAATGAAACTCTGTCTCAAAAAAAAAAAAAAAAAAAAAAAAAAGAATGCAGATATCTCTTCCCAGTAGAATCAGCCAGCTTTGAAGATAACTGTTTTCTCAGTGTTTTCCTCTTCATATATCATGCCAGCAAAATAAGGAATCATAAGAAGAGCTACTTAATTGGAGAATGCAACTGTTCTCCTAAGGAAAAAGAAAAGCTGTTTTTACACACAGGGATAACTTCTGAATAAATTTTGTTTAGATGCTGCTGAGGACAAATCTGATTGATGCCAGCAGGAAGACTGCAACGAAGTGACCACTAGCAAGAGAAAGGATTTATTTTGGCTTAGGTCTCAAGATGGCAGAGGAATGCCAAAAACTGGATTAGATTTTGTACTTAGCCTGCGGTATTACTGATCCTGGCATATGGCCTTTTGCTTCATCATATGATGAAAGCTCCCAAAATTCCAGATTGGAAGACTATGGGACAGTCCTGTCAAAACCTAGCTAAAAAGAGTAAAAAATAGGCTGGGTGTGGTGGCTCACACCTGTAATCCCAGCAGTTTGAGAGGCTGAGGTGGGTGGATCACCTGAGATCAGGAGTTCAAGACCAGCCTGACCAACATGGCAAAACCCTGTCTCTACTAAAAATACAAAAATTAGCCGGGTGTGGTGGTGCATGCCTGTAATTCCAGCTGCTTGAGAGGCTGAGGCAGGAGAATCACTTGAACCTAGGAGGTGGAGGTTGCAGGGTTGCAGTGAGCCGAGATCATACCATTGCACTCCAGCCTGGGCAACAAGAGCAAAACTCCATCTCAAAAAAAAAAAAAAGTTAAAAAATACTCTGCTTCATTGATAAGGGATTTATAATCAGGGGATTGTAACTCTCATTGTCAACCTTAAAGTAGCTTTAGCTCACTGGTCCTGGATTGCATGTTGGTAGTGGTTGTTTGCAAATCAGCTGTTATAGATTGGGGGATTCAGCTGAATAGAGCCCCTTTGTATCAAGGTCCAAAATATGTAGTTAATGTTAAAGTCAGGTCCAACATTACATCATTTTACCTAAACATATGTATCCATAGTTACCAGAAGAGGCTGCAAAACCAAAGCCATACACTACCACAAGCAGGACTTACTTGGATATATACACCCAGGCAGTGTTCACCACTTTGGGATATGGTATTTGGAAACCCAAAGAATTCACACCCATTTCCTAACCAAAGACTGATTTCCTTTCCTTTTCTTTCTTTTTTTGTTTTTATTTTTTGAGACACAGCCTGTCATCCAGGCTGGAGTGCAGTGGTGTGATCACAGCTTTACTGCAGCCTTGATATCCTGGGCTCAAGCAATCTTCCCACCTCAGTCTCCCAATAGTTGGGACCAGAGGCATATGCTACCACACTGGGCTAATTTAAAAAATAATTTTTTTTTGAGACGGAGTCTTGCTCTGTCACCCAGGCTGGAGTGCAGTGGCACGATCTTGGCTCACTGCAACCTCTGCCCCAGGTTCAAGCAATTCTCCTGTTTCAGCCTCCCGAATAGCTGGCATTACAGGCATCTGCCACCACGCCTGGCTAATTTTTGTATTTTTAGTAGAGGCAGGGTTTCACCATGTTGGCCAAGCTGGTCTTAAGCTCCTGACCTCAAATGATCCACCCACCTTGGCCTCCCAAAGTGCTGGAATTACAGGCGTGAGCTACCACACCTGGCCCTAAATTTTTTTTTGTAGAGGCAGGGTTTCACTATGTTCCCCAGACTGGTCTTGAACTTCTGGGATCAAGTGAGCCTCCTGTCTCAGTTTCCCAAAGTGCTGGGATTACAGACATGAACATTGCACCTGGCCCCAAAGACTGATTTTCTATGATTTTATTATTATTATTATTTTGAGATGGAGTCTCGCTCTGTCACCCAGGCTGGAGTGCAGTGGCATGATCTTGGCTCATTGCAACCTCCGCCTCCCAGGTTCAAGTAAGTCTCTGCCTCAGCCTCCTGAGTAGCTGGGATTACAGGCGCCCACCACCATGCCTGGCTAATTTTTGTATTTTTGTAGAGGTGGGGTTTCACCATGTTGATCAGGCAGGTCTTGAACTCCTGACCTCATGATCCACCCATCTTGGCCTCCCAAAGGGCTGGGAGGTGGATCACAGGTCAGGAGTTCAAGACCAGCCTGGCCAATATGGTGAAACCCTGTCTCTAAAAAAAAAAAACAAAAAAACAAATAGAGACAGAGTCTCACTCTGCACTTGCCCAGTCTGCACTTGCCGAGGCTGGAGTACAGTGGCTTAATCTCGGTTGACCGCAACCTCCACCTCCCGGGTTCAAGCAATTCTCCTGCCTCAGCCTCCTGAGTAACTGGGATTAGCATGCCCGGCTAATTTTGGTATTTTTAGTAGAGACAGGGTTTCACCATGCTGGCCAGGCTGGTCTCAAATTTCTGACTTCGTAATCTGATTGCCTCGGCCTCCGAAAGTGCTGGGATTACAGGTAGGAGCCACTGTACCCGGCCTTAATTTTTGTTTTTGTTTTTGTTTTTGTTTTGAGACGGAGTTTCGCTCTTGTTACCCAGGCTGGAGTGCAATGGCGCGATCTCGGCTCACCGCAACCTCCGCCTCCCGGGTTCAGGCAATTCTCCTGCCTCAGCCTCCTGAGTAGCTGGGATTACAGGCATGCGCCACCATGCCCAGCTAATTTTTTGTAGTTTTTAGTAGAGACGGGGTTTCACCATGTTGACCAGGATGGTCTCGATCTCTTGACCTCGTGATCCACCCGCCTCGGCCTCCCAAAGTGCTGGGATTACAGGCTTGAGCCACCGCGCCCGGCCTAATTTTTGTATTTTTAATAGACATGGGGTTTCACAGTGTTGGCCAGGCTGGTTTCGAACTCCTGACCTCAAGTAATTTGCCCACTTCGTCCTCCCAAGTGATTTTCTATGATTTAATTTAATTTAATTTTTTTTTTTTTTTTTTTTGGGAAACCACATCTTTTATTACATTAATTGATTAATTATTATTTTTTTTTTTTTGAGATGGAGTCTCACTCTGCCGCCAGGCTGGAGTGCAGTGTCGCGATCTTGGCTCACTGCAACGTCCCCCTCCCAGATCAGGAGATTCTCCTGCCTCAGCTTCCCAAGTAGCTGGGACTACAGGCGTGTGCCACCACAACCAGCTAAATTTTGTATTTTTAGTAAGATGGGGTTTCACCATGTTGACCAGGATGGTCTCCATCTCTTGACCTTGTGATCCACCCGCCTCAGCCTCCCAAAATGTTGGGATTACAGGTGTGAGCCACTGCAACCGGCTTACTTTATTTTTTTGAGACAGAATCTCACTCTGTCGCCAGGCTGGAGTGTAGTGACGTGATCTTGGCTCACTGCAACCTCTACCTCCCAGGTTCAAGCGATCCTGCTGCCTCAGCCTCCTGAGTAGATGGTACTACAGGGGTACCACCACGCCCAGCTAATTTTTGTATTTTTAGTAGAGACGAGGTTTCACCATGTTGGCCAGGATGGTCTTGATCTCCTGATGTTGTAATCCACCCACCTTGGCCTCCCAAAGTGCTGGGATTACAGATGTGAGCAACTGAGCCTGGCTAATGATTTTATTTTTAACTCAGTACTTAGGACAGAAGTGCTTTGTTGATCAAGAGTATAGTTGGCTGGGCACCAACCCCTTGTATAAAAAATACAAAAATTAGCCAGGCATCGTGGTGCATGCCTGTAATCCCAGCTACTTGGGAGGCTAAGGCAGAAGAATCGCTTGAACCTGGGAGGCAGAGGTTGCAGTGAGCTGAGATTGTGCCACTGCACTCCAGCCTGGGAGACAGAGCAAGACTCTGTCTTTTAAAAAAAAAGAGTATAGTTTAGCCAGGTACAAGAAAAAACCTTATTACAATGATACGTTAGGAGTTAGGCCTTGAAATGTGCCTCATAAAATAGCATATACATAACTAGTTCTTAGAACTGAAGACTTATTGCCCTTTCCTTCCTTTTATCCTTTACTGTTTTTCAATATAATAATTACCCTGCTTCAAAAGCTGGGAATGAAGGAGAAGATACAGTACCCTGCAGTATCTACACAATATAAAATAGAGCTATGTAACTAATAGACTCTTGATAAATATTACTGGCTGGCTTCTAATTGGCTGGCTACTGAGTGAGACAGTGATGAAGCTAAAAATTATCAGTTAACATTATAAATAACAAAATACTCAAGAGTATTTTCTTCCTCAGAGAGGCCCTCAGATTTTAGATAATTTGGAAAAAAATATTCTAGGGCATTAATTGCTTTCTTGACCTTCTGGCCTTAATTGACCTCTTCAGCTCAGCCTCCCCAAAGGGCTGAGATTATGGGTATAAACTACCATACCAGGCCAAAGGATAATAACTGCTTTCTAATCCCCACAGCTTTCAGTTGTAAGGTTGAGAAAGGGAATGTGTACATACCATGCTGGGTGACAAGGTGAGTACTGAAGCAGATGACATCTCCAACAAAGGTAAGCTTGGTGTCTGGCTCAATGGCATGCTCCACAGCAACAGGAATATAATCTGCCATGCCTGGATGTCTCTGGTCCCAAATCCTCACAAGTGTCAGCCCTCTGTTCACAGCCTGGGCCATGTAAGTATAGTTCTTATTCCCTGGTCCAATAAGCAGCAAATCATCTCTGCAAGTAGACATTAAAGTTACAAATCTCTAAAAAGAGACAATAGTTGGAAAATAGTTCTGGGGAACACCCTATCACATTTCATATTCAACAGCTCGAAAGTTCAGCAGGAATTCCACAATAAAGAGTAAGTAAGTAAGTAAGCCAGGCGTGGTGGCTCACACCTGTAATCCCAGCACTTTGGGAAGCCGAGGCGGGTGGATCACGAGGTCAAGAGATCGAGACAATCCTGGCCAACATGATGAAACCTGTCTCTACTAAAAATACAAAAAAATTAGCTGGGTGTGGTGGTGCATGCTTGTAGTCCCAGCTACTCGGGAGGCTGAGGCAGGAGAATTGCTTGAACCTAGGAGGCGGAGGTTGCAGTGAGCTGAGATAGCACCACTGCACTCCAGCCTGGCGCCTGGCAATAGAGCAAGACTCTGTTTCAAAAAAAAAAAAAAGAGTAAGTATAGACCAAGAATCAGTCTATTACCTTCATTGTGCCCAGGAAGGCTTTTTTCCAGTAAAGCCTTTAGATAATAATACTCCAGTTAGCCCCCTATGGATCTTTTAGTGAACTAGGTAGGACTGGACAGATTTAAGATATCCTGAAATTTTTCTTAATTGACAACTAATACCATTGTCTTTTTTTTTTTTTTTTTTTTTTTTTTTTTTTATTTTTTTTTTTTTTTTTTTTTTTTTTTTTTTTTTTTTTTTTCAGATAAAGTCTTAATTGATTACCCAGGTTGGAGTGCAGTGGCATAATCTCAGCTCACTCTAACCTCTGCCGTTTGGCCTCAAGTGATCCTCCCACCTCAACCTCCCTAGTAGCTGGGACTACAGGCACATGCTACCACACCCAGCTAATTTTTGTATTTTTTTAGAGATGGGGTTCCACCATGTTGTCCAGGCCGGTCTCAAACTCCTGGGCCCAAGTGATCCTCTCTCCTCAGCCTCCCAAAGTGCTGGGATTATAGGTGTGAGCCACCCACCTGGCCTCACTTTAAAAAAAAATTTGGCCAAGGCGGGCTGATCACCTAAGGTCGGGAGTTCAAGACCAGCCTGACCAACATGGTGAAACCCTGTCTTAAAAAAAAAAAATTAAATTAAAAAAAAATTTTAGCCATCTTGACCAACATGGTGAAACCCCATATCTACTAAAAATACAAAAATTAGCTGGGCATGGTGGCATGTGGCTCTAATTCCAGCTACTCAGGAGGGTGAGGCAGGAGAATCACTTGAACCCGGGAGGCAGAGGTTGTGGTGAGCCAAGATCGTGCCACTGCACTCCAGCCTGGATGACAGAGCAAGACTCTGTCTAAAAAAAAATTTTTTTTTTTTTACAAAAGAAAGATCAAATTTCAGATTCAGAATGTAAGAGGAATTTACTGGAGCTGCTATACAATACTAGTCTAATCTGCAAGATTTCTACCATAGTGTCAATAACATTCCTTTGACTTCCATACCTGTTCAGAGCCAGATAAAGCTGGGTATTGTGTGTGTGGAATTTCTCTCCAATGCTATTATAAAACTGAACAGTGAAGGTTAGAGACATGCCCAGGGGAAATGCTGACAGGATCCTTCCTTGGGCCGTGTATAGCTTGGGTTGGCTGCTCACTCGCAGGTATGTCACCGGTGCTACCTGTGGGAGATAAAACCTACTGGTACAGAGAAAGATGCACTGGAGAAGTGCCACGACCATATTCTGAGACTTATAATCAATGATAAAGAGTCATGTTTCTCTTCCATATGAAATAGCTTTTGATGTGAGATGACTTAAATCAGAGTGAAAAGAAATATGACAGTATAGGAAATGTTTTTTGTTTGTTTTTGAGACAGAATCTCACTTTGTCACCCAGGCTGGAGTACAGTGACATGATTTCAACTCACTGCAACTTCTGCCTCCCAGGTTCAAGTGATTCTCCTGCCTCAGCCTCCCAGGTAGCTGGGATTACAGGCACCTGCCACCACACCTAGCTTTTTTTGTATTTTTTGTAGAGACAGGGTTTCACCATGTTGGCTAGGCTGGTCTAAACTCCTGACCTCAATGCGATCTGCCCACCTTGGCCTCCCAAAGTGTGGGATTACAGGCATGAGCCACTGTGCCTGGCTTGAAATGGGTTTTTTAATTTTTTTTTTCTATTTTCTTAATTAAAAAAAAATTTTTTTAAAGACGGGGTTTCACCATGTTGGTCAGGCTGGTCTTGAACTTCCGACCTCAGGTGATCCGCCCACCTTGGCCTCCAAAGTGCTTGGATTACAGGTGTGAGCCACAACGCCTAGCCTTAAATTTTTTTTTTTTTTTTTTGAGACAAAGTCTCGCTCTGTCATCCAGGTTGGAGTTCAATGGCTTGATCTCAGCTCAGTGCACCCTCTGCCTCCTGGGTTCAAGAAATTCTCTGCCTCAGCCTCCTGAGGAGCTAAGATTACAGGCACCCACCAAGCCTGGCTAATTTTTTTTTTTTTGTATTTTTAGTAGAGATGGGATTCTACCATCTTGGCCAGATTGGTCTTGAACTCCTGACCTTGTGAGCCACCAATCTTGGCGTCCCAAAGTGCTGGGATTATAGGCCTGTGCCAGGTTTTTAATTTTTAAAGCTGTGGGAATGTGAAGAGAAGCTGGAGCTTTATGAGAAGAGGACTGTAATTGATCCATTTCTTGTAGAGTGCTCAATATTTATAGTTAAATAATCGATTACATCAGGAACACAATCTATATTGTGTTTTCACATTGTAAGAGGGCTGCGATACAGTAAGTGAAGTTCAGCTTTGAATCATAGCTTTGTTATTTCATAGCCTCATGTAACTTTTCTGGGTCTCAGGTTTCTTATCAGTTAACAGTTAGATGGGGATAATAACGCCTACCTCAGGGCTTTTGTGGTAGTTAAAAGAGATAATATACATAAAACAACCAACATAGTATATAGTAGATGTTTAATGCCTAAATTTTTTTGTGTGTGTTAAGACTAACATCTCTGAGGTCTTTTCTCAGTTTTTTAACTCTAGCAACAAAGCTTAATTTTTAAAAAAGAGACATATTCTTGCTTTGTTTTCTAGGCTGCAGTGCAGCAGTGCAGTCATAGCATACTGCAACCTCAAACTCCTGGGTTCATGCGATCCTCCACCTCAGTCTCCCAAGCAGCTAGGACTGCAGGCATGTGCCACCAAGTCTGGCTAATTTTTTTCATTTCTTTTTGTAGAGCTGGGGGGGGCGGGTTTCATTATTTTGCTCAGGCTGGTCTCAAATTCCTGGCCTTAAGTGATTCTCTTGCCTCAGCCTCCCAAAGTGCTAGGATTATAGATGTGAGGCACCAAGCCCAGCCAATTTTGATAGCAATCCTTCTACACTCCTCTGACACCAACCCTTTTGCCAAAGCTGCTAGGAAGACAATCATATAAATGTAGGCTGATCTGTTTTATAACAAAGGCTTTAAAGTCCATTTTAATTTTATGGCTTATAACCATGTTAAGACTGACCTCTTATCTTTTTTTTTTTGAGATGGAGTCTCACACTGTTGCCCAGGCTATAGTGCAGTGGCTGGATCTCAGCTAACTGCAATCTCCACCTCCTGAGTTCAAGCAATTCTCCTGCCTCAGCCTCCCGAGTAGCTGGGACTACAGATGTACACCATCATGCCCAGCTAATTTTTTTGTATTTTTAGTAGAGAGGGAGTTTCACCATGTTGGCCAGGATCGTCATGATTTCATGACCTTGTGATCTGCCCACCTCAGCCTCCCAAAGTGCTGGGATTACAGGCGTGAGCCACCGCGCCTGGCCTGGCCTCTTACCTTACAGGTTCATTTCTGACTCTTAGAGAAGTTTCTTCCTCTTTTTTTTTTTTTCTGGTTCATGTTCTTTCATGATAGAGAAGTTTCTAGTTTTTTTTTTTTTTTTTGAGACGGAGTTTCACTCTTGTTACCCAGGCTGGAGTGCAATGGCATGATCTCAGCTCACCGCAACCTCCACCTGCTGTGTTCAGGCAATTCTCCTGCCTCAGCCTCCTGAGTAGCTGGGATTACAGGCATGCGCCACCATGCCCAGCTAATTTTCTGTATTTTTAGTAGAGACGGGGTTTCACCATGTTGACCAGGATGGTCTCGATCTCTTGACCTCGTGATCCACCCGCCTCGGCCTCCCAAAGTGCTGGGATTACAGGCGTGAGCCACCGTGCCCAGCTAGTTCTTTTTGTTTTCTTTTTCTTTTTTTCTTTAATGGCATGATAAGAAAGTTTCTGGTTCTTAAAAAAAGGAATATTGCTTCTTAAGGCCAGGGTATGCCTTTTATTATTATTTTTTTAGTAAGTCCCTGAACTCACCTGGACTCCAGTTATGGTTGTTTGGTTGACTCCAAAAGGTTCTATAGAAGTGACTTCCAATACAGCAGTACCTGCAATGGAACCAGCTTTCAGGAGCCCTTCACCATCCTCCTCAATGACGGATGAATTAGGGAAACACTTAAGAACACGAGAACTCACGAAGGCAGCTCCTTCCCTAGGGAACAAGGAAATCAAGTGGCATCTTTTGGGGGTCTGACCAGAGAGAAAAGAGTAAAAATTGCCAGGATCAGCCGGGCGCAGTGGCTCATGCTTGTAATCCCAGCACTTTGAGAGGTCAAGGTGGGAGGATCACCTGAGGTCAGAGACCAGCCTGGCCAACACGGTGAAACCCCATCTCTACAAACAAATAAACAAACAAACAAAATTAGCAGGGCATGGTGACATGTGCCTGTAATCACAGCTATTTGAGAGGCTGAGGCAGGAGAATCACTTGAACTGAGGACTGAGGAGGCAAAAGTTGCAGTGAACTGAGATTGTGCCACTGCACTCAGCCAGGGTGACAGAGCAAGAATCAGTCTCAAAAAAAAAAAAAAATTAGTCAGCCAAAACAATTGAAAACAGGTATTCAAGTAAATATTTGCAAATGAATATTCATAGTCATATTATTCACAATAGCCAAAAGGTGAAAACAATCCAAATTTCTATTAGCAGATGAAATGAAAAACTAAATGTGGTATTTCCATATAATGGAATAATATTCAGTCATAAAAAGGAAGAAGTACTGATACAAGCTACAACATGGGTGAACCTCAAAAACATTATGCTAACTTAAGCCAACATAAGGCCGGGCAAGGTAGCTCATGCCTGTAATTGCAGCACTTTGGGAGGCTGAGGCGGACAGATTACCTGGAGCTCAGGAGTTTATGACTAGCCTGGGCAACATGGTGAAACCCTGTCCCTACTAAAGTACAAAAAAAATTAGCCAGGCATGGTGGCGTGAGCTTGTAGTCCTAGCTACTTGGGAGGCTGAGGCAGGAGAATTGCCTGAACCTGGGAAGTGGAGGTTGCAGTGAGCTGAGATCGTGCCACTGCATTCTAGCATAGGCGACAGAACGAAACTCCAACTCAAAAAAAAAAAAAGCCAACACAAAACGTTTCATATTGTATGATTTCATTTATATGAAATATATCCAGAATAACTAATACCATACACAGAAAGCAGATTAGTGATTGTCAGAGGCTGAAAGGAGGAAAGAAAGAAGAGTAGCTGCTTCACAGGTATGGGATCTCCTTTGGTGGTGATAAAAATATTTTGGAGCTAGATAGAGATGATAAATATACAATATTGTGAATGTACTAAATGTCACTGAATTTTACACTTTACAATAATTTTATATTATGGGAATTTCACCTCGTATAAAAAATTATTTATGGGTTAGAAAAGTCTCCTAGAAGGCAAAGGTGTTCTTTCTATGTTTTACTGAAGATACTTAAACTTAGATCCTGGCACTTCCTTATTTTCCCTTTTCCTTACCTGTTGGTATAGAGTTTGAGCTGAGAATTTATAGGCATCAGAATCTGCTCAGGTTGGCACTCTGGATAGAAAAGTTGGAGTTTTTCAAACACCTATCATGAGAAAATAATGTTTTTCTCATTTTTGGCAAAGACAAATTATGACTTTTACTTACATATGGACTTCAGTATAATCCCAGAGAGATTACATGCAAATAAATGACAACCACAAATCAACAGTCTGCTTAACTTCTAATTAGTCTAAAATCATCCACAATACTCTTCTCCAAAATGAACCAGGCAGTTAAAACATATCTAGGTATTCTAGAAGATATAACCTAATATTAGCCCTGTTTCTGACTCTGAGGGACCGAGCATGTAGCAAAGTTTACACTTACCGCATCTTCTGTATTACTTAGATGTTACGTATAAAATTACTTTGAAATTTCTAATTTTAATTCTGGTAAAATGAAATGAAGTTTGGGGAAAAGAACCTATAATATTAAATTAGCATGAAACACCATCCAGGTCTTCCACCTTCTAGTAAAGTGCTCTTTCCTCTACTTCACATTGAATCAGAGAATCAAAGCCAAAATAAAGGAAAAAATTAAAAAAGGAAAAGAAAAAAAAAAGTCCCAAATCAGAGGCAGTGAAACTTACTTGCCCCATACAAGTGATAACTTGGCTTTTGAATTCTAAAAACAACAGGGCCATTTAGCTTTTAGCCCGAGAATATCCGTAGAAACTATTCATACTCTTACACCTTTTCAAAGGTTAGAATTATGTTTTTATTTATTTTTTATTTTTTGAGACAGAGTCTCGCTCTGTCACCCAGGCTAGAGTGCAGTGGCACGATCTCGGCTCACTGCAACCTCTGCTTCCGAGGTTCAAGAAATTCTCCTGCCTCAGCCTCCTGAGTAGCTGGGACTACAGGTGCATGCTACCATGCCCAGCTAATTTTTGTATTTTTAGTAGAGACAGGGTTTCACCATGTTGGCCAGGATGGTCTTGATCTCCTGACCTCATGATCCACCCACGTTGGCCTCCCAAAGTGTTGCGATTACAGACGTGAGCCACTGCACCCGACCAGAATAATGTTTTATCCTAACTGTGGATATATTTAAATGGACTTATATCAGCTGGGCTGGGTGGCTCATGCTTGTAATCCCGGCACTTTGGGAGGCCCAAGTGGGCGGATTACCTGAGGTCAGGAGTTCAAGACCAGCCTGGTCAACATAGTGAAACCCCATCTCTACTAAAAATAAAAAAATTAGCCAGGCATGGTGTTGCGTGTCTGTAATCTCAGGTACTCAGGAGGCTGAGACAGGAGAATCACTTGAACCTGGGAGGTGGAGGTTGCAGTGAGCTGAGGTCATGCCACTGCACTCCAGCCTAGCAACAGAGTAAGACTCCGTCTCAAAAATAAATAAATAAATAAATAAATAAAATTTTAAAATGGACTTATAATATCTATGTCAGGTGGGGCAAATCAGAAATGAATCCCTCTCTAGTTACTATGATGTTCATATCCTGTGCTCCCGAAATGGGGAGTTGAAGGGACCATGTATGCTACAGTTTCTTTTTTTTTTTTTTTTTTCCTATCCAGATTGGTCATCTGCAAGTACCAATAGTTTCTAATGTTAATAGTATATAAAAGCAGCTGGGCACGGTGGCTCATGCCTGTAATCCCAGCACTTTGGGAGGCCGAGGCAGGCAGATCACTTGAGATCAGGAGTTTGAGGCCAGCCTGGACAACATGGCAAAACCCCATCTCTACTAAAAATACAAAAATTGAGCTGGGTGCCGTGGCTCATGCCTGTAATCCCAGCACTTAGGGAGGCTGAGGCGGGTGGATCATGAGGTCAAGAGATTGATATCATCCTGGCCAACATGGTGAATCCCCTCTCTACTAAAAATACAAAAATTAGCTGGGCATGGTGGTGCACGTCTGTAGTCCCAGCTACTTGGAAGGCTGAGGCAGGAGAATTGCTTGAACCCGGGAGGTGGAGGTTGCAGTGAGCTGAAATTGTGCCACTGCACTTCAGCCTGGTGATAGAGTGAGACTCTGTCTCAAAACAAAAAAACAAAAATTATCTGGGTGTGGTGGCACATGCCTATATCCCAGCTACTTGGGAGGCTGAGGCAGGGAGAATTACTTGAACCCTGCAGTGAGCTGAGATCATGCCACTGAACTCCAGCCTGGGTGACAGAGTGAGACTCTGTCTCAAAAACAAAAAACAAAACTATATACAAGCGCGGAGAGACTAAGGCCGGCCACTCAAGATGGCGCCGTCCGCGTTGCTGCGTCCCCTCTCCCGGCTGCTGGCCCCCGCC